CTATAGGCACTTTAATTTCAGGTAGTCTGCAGATGATGAGAACCTGTGAAATAGAATGATATCATTTTTAGCTGTGAATTCGCTCTTTCTCTCATTATTGAGACACACTTCTCACTCGTCTGCGGCTTTTTAAAAGAATCCACCTACAAATCTCAAGTCACATGGCAACAGGATATTCTATTTTAAAAATAAATTTTATTCTAATAGTGCTTAGAAATTGAGAGATGAAAGCTTACCTCCTTTCCGTAGTACGTCAGAAGCTCCTGAAATTTCGGAATATCCTAAATGTTAGTTGACTCAACGGAACATTGGCTTACTTTGCATGCTCTGTAGTATATCTTCCCCCTATATTGAACTGTCACGAGGTTTCGCTCCTCATCGAATCTGGCGCAATTAACGAACTATAGTAAACAAAAACAATGGGAGAAAGTGTTGCAGTAAAAGCTTCTTGTATTTTGTATAATGGGCTGAAGTTTCCTCACAGCACAGCATAAATAATTTCTAACTTTTAATAACACATTCTGCTTATTTTAGCCTCGATGCAACACTATCTTAATGTGTTTAAGAAGCCAGCGTTTCTGACAGCACGCTTAGGTAGTTTATGTATACTTTTCCCTATTATTATAACTGTGATCAATGCAAGTTGTGGTAGATTATAGTCTCCTGCGCAACAAAGACTCAGTTAGCATTCCTGTCAGCAGATTCCACTTACTTATCTGTGCTTAATACTCAACATCATATAACATAATTGAATCATGAAAATAAGCAAGTATTAGAAAGTGCATACATTGTAGTCAGAATATATTAACCCTAACATTGGTGGGATTCTGACACCTTAATCTTAGTTGAAGGACAATTAACAATTGAGGAGTTAACTGCCATCTCCCCACACCACTATGGATTATATGCATACATTTATTACTATGAAATTTACACATGCAGTTGGACTTCATTGCAATTTGTGAAGCAATGAGGTACCAATAGGAATGAAACGAGGAAACAAATCAAGTGTGTATGTAAAGTAAAATTACTTTCTTATCAATGCATATTATTGCCCAGAAACACAGATAAACACCTAAAAGGAGATTCTATGTCATATTGAATACTGTGTGAGATACTGTTCTTTTCCCGATACACTAACATCTACATCTACACCTGACCTACATTCAACTCATCACAACAAGCAGTTCAAAAGAAATCCTACGTTTGGGAAATATGCATAGAATAGTGTGTTGATGTAGCATTCACAACACTGTCGCTACATCTTCACACGAATAAGGTCAAGAGTTAAGACAAGGGTGACAATTTCGTAACATATTTTCACTGAAACACGAACTGTTATATTTCAAGAAGACTAACATCACTGTTGGAACCACGTGTTTCCAAACCGGCAAGTAAAAATTATATATATAAATATATATAAACAACAACGGAACTAATGATGCTGCAACATTTCGCCCAGTATGAGTGCCTCAACGTGGTGAAGTTTGATGGGCTGGTCATCTAATTAACACATAGGGAACCAATACTTGTACAACTTGTACTTAAATTATGACTGAAAAGCCATCGACCTACTCAGTCATTACACATACGTATTTAAGCCAGGAACCATTTTCAGCTCTATGGTCGCAGTGATGGGACCCAGCATAAAATAGTATATTGTCCTTTCTCACAAATCGAGTGGTTTATCTTGTGATGGAGTTACTATGTTAATCTATCATTTCTCACGAGTATTGTGATTTATTGTGTGATCAATTCATCATCCTCTGTCTCGCCTTAAGCTTTGTCGGACCGTCAACTGATCAGGATTGACATTTCCAGCCAATAGGAGTAATTCATTCTCGCGGCGATGTATAGCATATGATGTTTTGTTTCCTAATAAATGTAGAATACAATATCTTAGAGTCACAGGCCAGCCTTTGTCTTTTGATATTTGCATGACTCAGTGAATCGGAAGGTACAACGGACGAATAGGCGTATTAGCGTACTAGTCGAGTTCATTACCGTTATAAAAATATTAACAAGCGCAGACATAACAATTTGGCGACGGGTTTATTCAGTCCAGTGCAGCTATAAAACACAGTATTTCATTAAGCATGGCAACCAAAAAGCTTCAGAATCATCGTAGAGAACAATGGGACGACGACTACTAAAAATTCATACCTTCTATTCCATCAAAAGAATAATTAAGGCTTTGTGGGGTAAAATCTAACAAATCATTGTCCAATAAGGAATACATGAAATCACACACAAGGTTTAAAAACAACTGACAAAAATTTCAGACACAACCTCTAACCAAATCAACTGCATGTTAATACTCTGATTAGTCTAAAGAAAAGCTCAACATTATTCAACAGTAGATACGAGCATTAAATTAATTCTATGACAAGAATATAAAGTCTAACCAAAACTAATTACAAAACTTACTCTTAACCAGTTAGAATTCAAACAATTTCGAGCGTCAATCAAGTGTGGCCTGACACCATCTACATTTGCTCTTACGAGCCACGCATATCCTCCTCTGGATCTCTGAAATTGATGAAGCAATTGGATTCTTATGCAGTGCTTGAAACGAAACATTCATAGTTAAGTAAGGTTATAAAATCACTTTGTGTGTAGGCGAAAATGTCACAGAGATTTGGGTAGTACAAATTCAGAGACTTACTTTGAGTTGCTCATCACTACTCATTTCATCCACATAAGCAACTTGTCCACCATATGGACCGAAGATTGTACCGCAATCTATCTTTGCATTGGCAAAAGCGCCAAGGCCTGCACGAGGAATTCGGGATCTTAATATCTTGATCCATTCTCCAGGTGCAGTTTTCGCCGTGTGCTCATAATACGACTGTCCGCATACACACTTGGTTTTCTGGTGGAAAGCAAACTTATCCTCTGCTTCTTTGCACACAACCAAAGGTAAGTTTTCAATCCATCGGACAGGATGCTTAAGACAACCATCCATCACTGAGCGTTTGCATGTGTAGCAATCTGAATAATACAAAGGGTTGAAGTAAAAATCAGAACAATTCCTATAGAAGGTTTTTAATTGGTTACTAAATTCTACAACAAATTGTATTCTCATGAAGACACTTACTTTTAAGAGTAAGGACTTAGTGTTAATAACTATTTGAAGAAACAACAATGACACTAAGTCACTTTTTGAAATCACCACAGACAACACTTATGTCTATTATGCGACATAATTTCATACAGGCCTCTATGAGAAATAAATTCTGCATTTCAGTGTTTCCACACCAATGGAATGATTCAAGTACAACTGCTCTCTGTTTGCATTTAACTTTAGTCGACTGAAACATAGTTAATCGAATACCATCTTTTCCTTGTTTCTACCTTCTCATAAACGTCTCGAGGACTGTGGTACACCTCAAGCATGGATTTAGTTCATACTTATTTACGAGTTACTCAGATGCAGGATAAACTACGCATTCATTTTTAATTTCTACTGATAAAACATGCCATAAAATGTAGTTGAAACGTTCACTATGGAGCCATCAGCTTGATACATCTGACTGAAAGACTTAAAAGATAACAGTGATAATCACAATCCAAAAGTACTTCAAAACTAACAGTCTTTTATTAAAATAAGAGCTGTTTAAACATCTAACCACCTAAGTGTGCAAACACAAAAAATTAAATCCTGATGTAGTATAACAAGTAAACCTATTTTAAACTATACGAAACTTACACAGGTACCTATCATCTTCGGGGATCTTTATATCTGCAGCGTAGTTTGGCCGTTCTTTGTTTCTCTTCGGATAACGACTGCCTATAAATCGGTTACCTTTATTATTTTCACTTATCACCTTCAGAATTGGTAAGCTCCATCAATCTAGGAGTTCCGGAGTGGGCTTCTGTTTCACCTGAGATCTCCCCAGTTGTCCCGCTACATCCACTTCGTAACTCAGGTGCCCACTCATCACCACTGCTTAGGCAGTCACTACCACTATCTGAAGATAGTGCTGACCTTCTTCTTCTTTTTGGCTATTTAAATAATGAAAAATCATTTTGAAACCTGCATACCTTTGAGCTGTGTGGTGGGACTACAGGCTTTGTTGGTTTTCGCTTCGTCAACTTTCTTTCCGTTGACTTTGTACGTGTGCATGAGGCAGACACCTTCGGCTAATTCATCAGAAAATTCAAAAGAATTATATCACATTTGTCAAAACAAAGCAAAAACTAAGGACAAAATGTTACAAGAACAGTTGAAATGAATTCTCCACTTTAAATGCATTTTCATATCACATTATTAATTAATTTCCTAAATGCACTTTCCTCCACAAGGAAGGAGGTAGGAGGCAATTCCGTCAACATGATGTGCAGCCCATTCACTTTCAGGTAGCTGTTAACACTACTTAGTACCATTCACACGTCACCATGAATTTAAAAAACTAACGTTGTAATTTACGAGATAATGAATTTTATTTACTCTCTCCTCTTCGCGTGGTTCTCTAACTTCCGTCCTTAGTGCAGGACAAGTATTGAGCGGACTATGATTATATTATTCAGCCTACGAATAAACTGGCTTTCAACTGAAGTGCATCAGTTCAACCTGCCGAAAACCACCTAGAATATGAAGGATCAGCAAAAAAAGAACCATAATGTACAGAAATATACGAAAGAATAGTAACATGGAAAAACGTGAGATTGAATGGGAATGAAAGGTCTCAAAGAGTGAATGCATCTCCAGCATTGAAAACGATTTTGAGCCATGTCACCAACAGTCTCCAGTCATTGGTTCTTAGCACTTCAACAAAATCAACAAAGCAATCCATGCCTTCCTATATGGGTCATTTTATGTGCATCTAGGTAATTCACTACCTTCCACAGTAAGCGAAACAAATACCTCCAAGAGCCCTAACTGACTGAGTTTAGAAATACAAACAAGTAAACCATAACTCAATTTACAGGAACATGTTTTATTTACTGGGTTATCAGCCACACTATGTGCGTATGTCTGAGTGATATTATCCAGTAGTAGCCTAAGCTGAACTAAATGGGACGTAACTCCTGTTGCCCATCAAAAGACGTATGTACTACAGAAAAGTTAACTGCATGTTAAGATACGAAGACTTGAAGAGGCTGTCCATCTTCAGCCATGTGTGTCCTAGACAGTAAAACAATGCGAGCAATGACGAGGTTAGCCACACAATATTAGGTACTAACACTAATATAATAAAAACAAGGAGGGTAAGTGAATCAATGAGGCTATAAAATCGCATCGATTGAAGTGGTCTGGACATGTGTTACGTATGCTGGACTATCGTCTTCCTCATTGAGCAACATTAGCTAAAGAGGGTGGGCTGGGTAAGAGTTGACAGCACTGACACCAACTAGTGGATCTTATCTTCAAATGGTACCACAGACAGAGGGGAGTTAGTTACAATGTTTAGAACGTTGAGAAATGACTATGGGCCTGATTTCTCTTCTCTTTGCCCTCCCACCTAGTGGAGATATCTAAGAGGATATAGCAGAGACGTTCAACAACTAGGAACGAAGTATATTGCTGTGGAATACTGTTTCTCCCACCGAGACACTAACACTCACAACAGACTACGTCTGTGGACACCTTTAGGCGAAGGCTGGACAATCATGCAGCGACACACGAACTGCGTTCAAATGGCCTATCCCCCCACTAAAATCCCATACACCATTCGGAGTAGACAGTTAAGTTCGTCGTTTTGCTTCTTTACATTCTCCTGTATTAATCTCCTGACAACTCTAACTACATTTACTATTGCTATTACTGATATGTATATATATATATATACATATCAACTTCAAATTTAATTAGCTATCTGTTTCTATGTTTTCTTTATTTATTTTTCTGTCTCTTAGTCTGAATAATCTACACTAATTACATCTGTCATTATTTCTTTTATCCCTTTTCTTTTGTCGAAAACACCGGAGGAATAACTGGTCAAAGGACCAACTCTATTCACAGTAGTAACAGTCTTAACACACCTCATACAACAAACCACATATAATTAATCCTTTTGGAGTCAACCAAAGGCACGACATTCGATCAACCGGATGAGCCAAGCAGAATTTTACCGAAGATCAGGAACCTATACCTCAGAATCAAGAGGCGAGCACAAAGAAATCAAATTGGTTTATACTAGCTAGTAAAAACGATACTGGATATATTGGACTCCCAAAAGAAGTAATGACTCAGTGAGTAGACGAGTGGTAAACACTAATGCCTTGTGGGAAAGCGTTAAAACAGGCCTGCATATCCGTACACTTTATTACCACCCTTAATCCAAGCAGATAGCTTGCGGCTTTTATGTCTTTAAGAATTGTAGAAAGAGTGCTCAAGCGAAATCCAAAACAAGCGTTTCGTAAATCACTCTGAATAACACCATAATACACGTACAAAACATCGTTAGAGAATAATCGATGACATAAAATTATCGAAGTGTGTGTGAGTCATTATATACAGAGTAGGGATATGCATGTATGACACACGACTAACTAGCCTAAGCTAGCTGCTTAGCTGTCAAAACCACTGGGCATACTTTGACAAGTTTAGACACAAGATGCAAGGGAAGCGTATGCGCATTCACAATTCAACTACACTCTAGACAAATCTGTGTGATTAAAAACGGAACACTCATCACCGATACGATCGTATTATGAGATCGGTCGAAACTATCATGTTTCTCTTACCTTCTTGATACCATACATTTCTTTCACCTTCTCAGCATCTGCAGGTGATATTTCTAAAAGCAAGATGAAAACAGTTGAAATCAACACAAACTGGTGAATTTTTCCAGCAGTTCTAGATTCTCCAAAATGCGTTGTCTACGCAAATCCTCCATTTCAAAGTTTGGCGGAAGTGCAAGAAGCCACAACCGAAACTGAATAATGACAACTTAAACAATATTCAATATCCAGTGTTGTGTAATGAACTTCAAAATACAATACCCTGTACACCATCTACTGCAAGCCACATTATCTCTTTAGGCTGACTTCAAGGTTTGAGTTGGAAACCGCTGTTCTTTAGTAAGCTTCAATGAACATTTCCCACCACCCACCTAACTTAAATTAGCTTGATTCCAAAGGGATTGGTGCAAGGATAACGGATCTGACGGTGAAATTATGAGCTCTTATGTTGAGGTTTTGACAGAATAATGGCGTTTCCCTCGAACAGTCATCAACCAGCTACATTGCCTCTCTTCTCCTAGAGGGAAGGATAGAATATATTAGCTCCAAAAAGTATACACACTGACTTAACTTGAAGGGGTATATTGTCGTCAGAGAGAACTGAACACCAACAAAACTCTGAAAACCATGTGAAATCCGCCTCACACATTTATTCCCTGAATTCTGGCGTCCCCTAACACTGATGCTCATTCTCCTTCAGATGTTCCAAGAAGAAACCAACCTCCACAGTGGGAGCAATCAGAAATTATTAACCATATAACATATTACGCAGGATGTTAAAGATTGTCAGCAGGGTAAGCAACGTGCCACTTAACCAGCTTGTTAATATTCTGGTCGACAGGCACATGGACTCATGTGAAAAGTGGGCTAACTCACACCACCCTCTTCATTCACAACTCTCCCCTTGCATCTCATCAGGCAAAACCAGAAGCCTATATAGAAAACTATATGCTCGCACCAGCAAGTACAAAAACTCAACCATACCCTACTTAGCTCGTGTTCTGTGCGACAAAGAAAGCATTAGATGTGATACTTATAACTTATCAAATAGTCAGTAGAACAAATGGATCTCGTCTTTCCAACTCATATCATTTATAGGTACAACGTTTTCTTTCTTTCTTTTCATTTTCTCTCTCTTTTTTCTGCTATGTGATGCTTTGTTTCTTTCTCTCGCTTACGCCAGTAAATATGACAGCTCCTGCTTTTCCAACACCTTCAAACACTGTTCAATTTTGGCTTTGCTACCGACATGCCAATGCGTTGTTGTCATAATGAACTGAGATTTCCTTAATCTATGTGGAATTTTATTTACTGTTAATGCACTAACTGGATGCAATACTGTAGTAAAAATGCTGAGAATTCCATTTTGTATCACAAGTCCTGTTTTGGAATAAAGCAAATTATTATTATTCACACAAATCCATACACACGCGAGGCTCTCCTGATCACGTTTTGCTTCCCTGTTGCAGTTAATACTATCCCACAGGACGTCTCATTATATTCTCTAGGCCCTGCAACTATTCTTAGCTATCTTAGCCACCAAGCTACCAATAATGGTCCCCTAAACCCTGCGGTCAACTTCATGTTGGAGAATTCATCGCCTAGGGCTCATTTTGAATCGACCAATCTGCCACGATATTCATCTCGAGAAATGGATGTATATTGCATCTCTAGGTCATTCGCACGTGGCCCAAATCTGCATTTTCACATAACATCGAATTTCGGAAGTGGTGGATCCATAAAATGAACACCACATGCGTCAGAAGAATACTTGGCTGGTTACGAGACCTTGGTAATGCAAGAAAGGCGCTGAACGTAGAGGCAGAAACATCTGCGCTTCGGTAGACTCCAATGGACGATCCTGTGTACACTGTCGCGTAGAACAGATTGACAAGGAGAAGATAAGATTGAAATGCCCGCTTCAGCAAATTCATCATATCCGTCTAAACCTCAATCGACTGCAGCTCGGAAAAAGTAAAGAATGAGCTGAATCAGAAGTCGCTGCCCTTAACAAGACGCAAGCTCTTAATAAATAAATAAATAAATTTATTCTCATAGTACAGTACTTGAGGGACGCCAGTTTACAGGCATCATCAAATTGTTACAGAAATAGAACCATATAATTCTATCACAATTTACAGACGGTAGCAAGATATGCTTTACATGTTCGCTGGAGATTATATATACACTTGGTAAATGTTAATCCCAGTAGTATAGAACAGCCTTTTCACTCATATACAATCATTTCTGTGCACAGTTGGAAAAATCTGCTAGATTGTCAGTGAGTGCAACACATCAGGAAATACAGAAGTATTGTCTTCGCATTAACAAAAACACCAGGTCTTTGGTGGAAGGATTATAAGTGCCTGGGAAAAATATGAAGCTTGAAGTCAATTTTCATACATAACTTTGTTGTATGCAGAGTCCTTGAATTATAGTTCATTGATGTGTTATTTTAACCTCGCCTAGAATATTAGGTCACTAGTATTCTAGCCGGTCCCAAGTCCGGATAAAGGGGGAGGGTTGGCGCGTGTTGCTAGCAACTCCACCCCCAAAACTTAACCAAATTGCTACTAAAACTTCAACGCATACATATATTAAAAATTCTAAAAATACAAACAATAACCTTATTTTTCGCTGGAATCGGGGAAGTGAAATGACGCAGGCTGGTGAAAGCCTTCGGGAAGCCAGTCAGCCGATGTGCCTTCTTTCGATGAAAGCAAAAATAAGGATGGGGAAGTGGAATATTCGTACAATGTACGAAACTGGAAAGGCTGCTCAGGTAGCCGCAGAAATAAGGAGATATAAAATAGAAGTGTTGGGAATCTGCGAGAGCAGATGGAATGGATGCGGAAGGTGCCAACTATCAACTGGAGAGACAATAATCTACTCCGGTCACCCAGAGGACGATCACGAGCACACCGAGGGAGTAGCCATCATGATGTCACCAACAGCGGTTAAGGCTCTCATGCAGTGGGAACCAATCTCCTCCAGGATAATGACAGCCAGGTTCAACTCAAAAGGAAGAAAGGTTACAATCATTCAATGCTACGCGCCTACAAACGTCTCAGAGCATGAGAAGAAGGAGGACTTCTACGGTCAACTACAAACAGTAATGGACAACGTCCCAAAGAGCGATATCAAAATCCTGATGGGCGACATGAATGCGAAACTGGGAGGAGACAATACAGGAAGAGAACTCACCATGGGTCGCGAGATCCTCGGTGAAATGAACGAAAATGGTGAACTCTTCTCAGACTTCTGTGCCTTCAATGATTTGGTGATTGGTGGCAGTGTGTTCAAACACAAGGATATACACAAGGCGACATGGATTTCACCAGATGGACACACCAAAAACCAGATAGACTTCATTTCAATCTCAAGGAAGTGGAGACGGAGCCTACTGGACACAAGATCGAGGAGAGGAGCAGATGTGGGTTCAGACCACTATCTAGTACAAGGGACTTTCAAGGTGAAGCTGAAAGCCTCGAGGATACCTGGGGATAGGCCACAATGCAAGTTCAACGCGCAAAAACTGAAAGACACAACCACAAAGGACACTTTCACTGCAAATGTCAGAGCAAAGCAGGAAACACTACGTGGCACCACTGAGGAATCATCCGTGGAAGACCATTGGAACTCTCTGAAGGTAATTTTCAACGAAACGTGCTCAACGGTTTTAGGAAGAAAGAAGAAACAAGACAAAGAATGGCTCTCAACAGACACTTGGAAACTAATAGAGGAGAGGAGAAAGGTGAAAGAAAAAATGATTCAATGCAAAGATGGACAAGACAAAGAGACGCTGAACTCAACTTACACAGCACTGGGCAAAGAAGTGAAGAAGAGTGCCAGGAAGGACAAAAGACAATTCTACGACAACCTGGCTACTGAAGCTGAGAAGGCAGCAGGCAAAGGGGACCTGAGGACACTATATCAGATAACCAAGTCTCTATCCGGGAAGAGATCAACACAAGTGAAACCTATAAAAGACAGCCAAGGGAACCCAATTACCAAAGAAGAAAGACAGATTAAACAATGGGCAGACCACTTCAAAGGACTCTTGAACCGACCACCACCTGCAACTTGTCCAGAAAGAACAACAACAGCACGTACACAACTGCAAGTTGACACCAATCCTCCAACGGAAGCTGAAGTCATAAATGCAATCAAGCTTCTGAAAGCTGGAAAAGCAGCTGGACCAGATGGAATACCCCCGGAAGCACTGAAAGCGGACCCAGAGACGACAGCAGATATGCTGACTCCATTATTGCAAAAGGTCTGGAAAGAGGGAAAGGTGCCTACTGACTGGAGGAAAGGT